AAAGCTTGCACTGACAAGTGTGGACCCTTCAAACACAGAGTTCAGCTTCCAAAGCTCCCTTGCGTCACTGAGGCAACTGCAAAAGGCCTCTAAGCAATCTTCCGAGCTCATCGTCACTCCATCCGGGTACGAACGAAGGGCGGCAAGCACGAAGTGAGTAAACGGCAGCTCAAAGCACTCTCAACTGGTCCTACCATGCCAAAACAAACATGCAAACCTAACATGCCGTGAAACATGCTCCTACAGGGCAAAAACATGCAGCAACCTACCAAGCTGCTACAAGCTACCAAGCAGTTTCAAGTTGCGTTCCACCTTGGACCAAAACACGCGGACATCAAAAGATGAGTCCTCAAGCATCTCAGATTTTCATCCATGCGGCGAGAGTCCACGGCCATTTGGCCCTTCCGGAGCAGTGCTCAACGGTGTGAAAAGGTGAAACATAGGTCTGAGGCATCTGGGCTGTGCGAGAACCTCAGCACAGTGAAAACCCATGTGCCCTAAAAGGAGGGAGTCCTAACTACTACCAGGGGAGAAGCTCTCCCTGGTTGCAGAAAGTGCTCCCATCGAGGAACACAGGGGTCGATATGGCCTTCTCTTCAAATCATGCTTTGTCCTCGCTATGCTGCCTGGAGGGAGTAGCTCACCTCTTTTCAGTGACCTGGAAGTGATACTTCCGCCATGGCACCATCTTTCAAAACACCCTGGGCTGCGAGTCTGAACTCATAGGCCTGGCATTCTGAATATAAGCGAGCGAAAGTGGCTGCTGGGTCTGCTGCTGCTGTGGAGGCAGTTTGCCTCAGCCAGCTGGCATGAAGAGGGCAAAACTTCTGTGCACAATCGAACCAGCCGACCCATTTGCAGTTTGCTTTCTTCGTATGAGCCCAACTGAGCGTGTCGAAAAACACTGCCTCGGGATGGCTATCAGCAGCGGTGTGCATCCGGATTCCGAGGTTTGATGCCCCCGTGTCTTTGGCAGTTATGCCTAAAGAGGATACAAAAGTCAAAAGGCAACCGACATACGCCAGGAATTTGAAGGCAAAGGTTTCGCCTCTTGCACCGAGAAGCTCAGCTGCAAGTTGAACCTTATCCTGACATGTCATAAACAGGTTGTGGGTGTGAAGCACAACCCCGTCTGGTTGGTACAGTTTGACCAGCACCCTCTCTTGCCAATGCGTACAGGCTGTGATCTTGCTTCCGGAGTCTGGGACAAGGTGCTAATCTTGAGGATCATATCGTCGGCTTCATATACCACCTTGTCTCCTCCCCTAGCCAGGAACTTGAGCATGGTTCCTTACGGGTCCTCCTGCCACTCATAGCCTAATGCAGGGAACCGAGGACATCACGAGGGATGTTACGGATGGTGGCAAATCCGTGCAGGAGAGCAGTTTGCTTCGGTCTCTCCCTTGAGGGTTCGCGAGCAGCTCGCAATTTGACCCTCCTTTCCCATGGAGTGCCTGGAGCTACCTGACTGCTGGATGCAGGTTGTTCCATCTCTGTTTCGGAATCCGTTTCAAGGGCTTCTGCGTCCTGGGGAAGGATCTTACCCTTGACTGCCTTTTTTCCCCTGTGCTCTTCTGCTTCTTGGTCCTTGCTGCCCTGAGGGAGTTGCTCACCTCTTTCTGGGCGAGTTTCTCCTCTTACTCGCAGCCTGACAGTGCCTGTGCCTGCCTTGGGTTCTGGCTGGTTGTGGGGGAGAAGCTCACCCCTTTCAACCAGCCTGGCTCCTTCCCCTGCTGCTTCTGCAACATTGGCTCCTGCCCTACCCCTAGGGGGACGGGGAGGAGGAGGCGGAGGCTTTACGCTTCCAGGGCTGGGCGTTTACCTGCCTTGCGTGCTGAATCTCTTCTTCAGAACGGCTGCTTTTGGCTTTGCCCTTTGCTCCTTTTCCTTTGCCTGTGCCTTTTCCACCACCCATGGCTGCAGCAGCTCTTAGACCCTGGCTAGACACTGGCTTGGGCTTCACTGGTTTGCACCGGGATGTGGCTTAAAGAAATGCAACACACTCTGAGTCCCGGACTCCTGTTTGGCAACATCCTTGGGTTTAGGCTTTGTTTTCTTAGCTTTGGGCTGTCCTGAGGCTTCCGTTCGGGCCTTCGGCTGAGGAGCTCGAGCCAATGGCACAATGGAAGAGGGATCAGCAAGCGCTTTGGCTTTGGGTTCAGCATTGGGTTTTTCCTTACTCCTATCAGCATTCTCATGAAACTCATGGCGAGAAGGCACCTCTCCCTGACTGCCAACACAAAAAAGCGCATGAAAATCCCTTGGCAATTGAACTCGAGGCTGAGGACCTCGAGCCAAGGTGGCAGGGGGAACATGAACATCGTGTTTGCTGACAGTAGAGTTTCCAGTAGGTTGCCCAGTACCTGGAACAAGGCTCGAACCTGGATTAGGGCTTCCACCGTTGGTGCTGTTTATTTTGGCCTTCGCAGTTGAAAAAAGCGCTGCAAAACCATAAGACGCCGAGACATTACCACTGCCTTTTCTCCCTATGTTTTCCCTGAGTTGCCTTTGCATTTTTTGGTCAGCCTGCCTTTGGCTGGCGTCCTGACCGAGTAACTCGCCTTACACCTGGAGCAGCTCCACAGGTGGCCTAGGTTGACAATGCTATGCGAAGGGTCGGTTTTGGAATCTGAGCCAGGCACTGCTGGTCGGTGCCGGCAGGGGTGGCCCAGAACAAAGTCCAAAACAGGGCTCGGGTCGGTTTGTTGCGCATACAGTGCGCAGATCTCGCATTTGATGCACAAGTTTTTGGCATTCGTGGTAACTACCCATTTATGTTCCGTGTGAAGGTTTTCTACCTCAGTGGCAGCCAGGAGCTGCTGCCTTGACAGGTTTGTTGGCCACGGGAGCCGCCTCCTACTTGAGATCCTTCACTTTAGGCACCGGGTCATGAGCTAAAATATGTGCACACCTTCTGCCCAACCAGCTGCAGGTTGCCCTGGCAGCAGCGTCGATATAGACTGTCTTGGCTGCCTGGGTGAATGAAAAGACTTCGAGGCTGCGCGCGCTGCACTCCCTATCGGCTTCAAGATTTGCTGCCCATGCCCAAGCTTGGGACGACCCAAACCGTTGTCTGTGCTGTTCTTGGTTCAGATGACCTTTGGTCCAGGTCAGCTGGAGGAGGTCTCTTTTCTCCTTGAGAGCGGACCACACTTCTGGCATTTTCTCTTCAATGTCCGCAACTCTGACTCTTCTCATGGCGATTTTGCTGTCAGCCGCAACTTGGACAGCACCTTGGACCCAGTGGGCAAGCTGGTCCAAGGCAACCGATTCACCATCATTGACTGTGGCTCCTATCTGTAGGGACCCAGTCATCGTGCCCAGAACTGAATACTCAGGTTTATCGGGAACATCCTGAGCCTCATTGTGCCACCGTAGGGCAATTACCGCCCACGAGATGACCCTCAACCTCGGGTCATCGCCTCGAGGGCCTCCAGAGGCATCTGTTCCATAATAGATGCTGCTGCCAGGGAGAAACTCACCTGTGAAGACTCCAGTCTTTTTGATGGCTAGTTGCTCTTGGCTAAGTGCTGGGTGCATTGTTGCGGGCTTGGGAACCAGCCCCCGCACACGAAAGCATTCTGGCGCCGCCGGAAAAAGATCCTTCCAAGCCGGGTCTGGGCCGATGTCCAGCTCGGCCCATCTGATGCAATCATGCAGGACATGTTGCAGTGAGTTCTCTCGGCCGCACCTGTGACAGAAAGCGTCGCCGCCATGGTTGGCGCGGCGAATTGCTCCTTGGAACAGCATACGCAAGCCCGATTGGAGCAAAGGCTGCTTTGCCGTTTCCTTTAACATCTTTCGGGCCACCGTCCAGTCGATGCCTTCTTGCGCACCTTTGGCGTTTTCCTGTAGGGCGATGCGCTCCCACCTGTCTTTCAACAGGGCTCTTTGCAAGTGTGACTTGACCTTCACACCCACGCAAGGCGAACCCCACTCTAACGTAATGTCACCATCTGCCCGCTTCCATACGTCCATTGTGGGGGCATCAAAACCCATGTCCATTAGGTAGCACTGCATGGCTCCTATGGGCCCTGAAGCAACAGTCCAACGCTGGGGGCTACGAGAAAGCTTGGCCCAGGACACCGCCCAAGTGCGCCTGACCAAGGCTGCCGCAGGAAGGTTCCTAGCCACGCATTCTTGAAGCATAGCCCAATGCTCCAAGATAATTTTGCTCAGAGGGTCACCTGATCCAACCCAGGAAAGGTCAAAAACCAAATCCAGAGAACCAAAGGACAACTTGCCGTAGTGACCTCCCGCAATTGCTCTGAGCACCTTCATGCGTTTTGGCGAAATTCCTTGCCCTTGGTGACCGAAGGTTGCAGCTGTGAACACACCGGTTGGCGCGACTTGCGCGCGCATTTTAGGGTTGGGTACCTTGAGCCTCGAAAGCTTGCTGCTTCTGCCCGCAGCCTTCACAATCCTCGCATTGCTCGTTGCAACCCGGCGTCTGCGGGCCCCTGCGGAATCCACTCCTAGATCTTTCACGAGGTGTAGTACGGGTGGTTCTCCTGGACGGAGAAGCTGCTGAACACGATGTTGTATCTGTCTATCTGTGCAGACAAAGGCAGATTTCGACACACTTATCCGTAATTCAGCATTGCCTAGCTCCTCGCTGATGGTACGGTAAAGTGCAACAATCTTTTGCGCGGCACGCTGCGCATCTTTTGCCTCAGCATCGATGGTCACATCGTCTATCCAGGAGTCCATCCCTGCCGAAAGGCCGGTTTCTGCCACAATCTTGCATGGCTTGTATAGCGCGAGTTTGGATAGCGCTGGAGCTGCTGGACACCCAGCTAACTCGTGAACGATACTGGGCTCATTGAGCCTTCAGCATCGATGATGCGGGCACCGCGATATACTTGGATCGCTATGTTGAGGATACTGGCCGGGAAGGCCAGCTCCTTAGCTGACTCAATGAGCCTTGCATGAGTCAGTGCCCCATAAAAAGTTGTGAGGTCAAGGTAAACTGAGGCACGGTGACGCCCCGTTGCCACCGCTATCTCACTCTTGAAGACACGGGAAATGGACACTGACAGACATGTGTTCCCTGGCATTGCCGCGTCCCAGTGGGCCTTCAGCTCATATTGTTTTATCCAATTTTGGATCAGGGAGTATCTCACCTGAAGCCATGCCTTGTATACAACATTGCACAGGCCTATTGGTCTTTCGATGTCTTTGTTCTTTGCCAACATGGCAAACTTGACTACCCTCCACTGGCCGGGAGCCTTGCCAGTTGCTTCCATGTGGTTCAGGAACTGGGTGAGAGGTTCCAAAGCAGTAGGTGGCAATTGCTTCAGCATGCGGTTGTTCCAACCGTCTACTCCTGGTGCCTTTTCAGAAAGACACTGAAGTCTTGTTTGAAGCTGGGTAACTGTAATGGCTGGAAGCATCGCAGCTTCCACAGCCCTGCTGAGAAGCTCAGGCAAGACCGGCTCCACGGGTGAGTCCTGACTCTTCCAGATCTCTTGCCATTGCTGGTGTCTCAGGTAAGGCCTCAACGTTGCCTCCTTGTTGCGGAAGGGCCTGACCAGGACTTGCTCATGAGACCGAATTGCGTTGTATAAGGGGCGCATGCCCTTGACCATGGCACCCTCTAACCATGCCTGGTACCTTTGCTTGTCGGCAGCCAAGTGATCGCTTTGCGCTTGCTTAATGAAGCTTCTGAGCATTTCTTCTTGGTCACTTTCAAGCAGTGAGGTGCATTGAAAATGGGCGAGAAGCTCAGCCCTCCATCTGTCTGCTTCCTCAATCGGCATCTCACCGAACTGCAACTGATTCACAACCCCTGCCAGGGCTTTGTGGCTAACCTTGACACCAGCCTTGGCCACTGCATTGAGCCACGACTCAATTCTTAGCCACAAGCCAGCCTGGGTGGAATATGACTTGTTCGGTGGCTCTTGCACAGGTGCCAATCTTCTGAACTCAAGGGTTCCTCCTCGAGCTTGCTTTTCCTCAGGGTACATGGCCTGTTGACACCACCTGGACAGGATCCCAAAGTCTTTGGAGGCCTTGTCCTCAGTGAAGTCTTGACCCACAACGATTATGCCTTCAGGCTCCGGTGGGGTCTGGCTTAAAACACAACCTTCTGCAGCATCTTTAACCGAGAAGTCAGGCAAGCGAAGCGCTTTGTCCTGAGAACCCGGCAGATAAAGGTTGATGTTCATGCTGGCATGAGGACGATGCGGGGCACTCCAATCTAGGTTAAGTGAGGTTGGATTGTGGGCTCGCCCACACATAAAAGCTGGCTACGGAGCTCAGTCATTAGGCTGGTGGATGCTAGTTCCTGTGGCGTGACATTGAAGTCACCTGCAACGGTACTTTTACTCGAAAGGGAGTAT